CTTACTCTAAACCTGAAAAAGCCCCATCCAGGACAGCACAAACCCCACAACAGCCCCACAGGCAGGACCAGACCTGGGTGGACCCCACTTGCAGCACAGCCCCAACCACACTCCACAAAGGCCTGAAGACTTGGGAACAATCTCCAGGTGTTCCTGGTGCCCAGGGACATTTGGGACACTGGGATGTTGTTCCCAAAGAAGCCCCCTCCCCACTCCATTCCCAAGGTGCTGATGTAACCTCCTCCCAGCTGCAGCCCCGACGGCTTGAGGTCAGGCTCATGCCATAAATCTTGGGAGCAGTCGGAGTTTATTTGGATTTAGTGCTGCTGGGATCGTTAATGCTCTGCGTGCCCCGGGCTGTGCCTGGCTCCCCCTCCCCAGGAACGAGGGGCTGCTCCTGGGGCTGCTCCCCCAGGAACAAGGGGCTGCTTCTGGGGCTTCTCCCACCAGAATGAGGAGCTGCTCCCCCTGTCTGACCAGGATGGAGTGGAGGGAAGGCAGAGTTTGCCAGCCCAGGAAACCACAAATCACTCAGGACAGCAGCTCCCACCTCCCGACCTGGGGCTGCCTCCCAATCCATCCCAGCCCCATTCCCAATCCACCCCAGTCCCCATTCCCAGTCCATCAGAGCCCCATTCCCCATCCATCCCAGCCCCCATTCCCAATCCATCACAGCCCCTAAGTCAAGCCTCAGCTGCCTGGTTTTGTCCCAAAAGAGAAACTTCCTCCAGACTTTATCCCTGCCCCAGGGGGCTCCATGGGGTCAGACCACAGCTGGAGGGACCCTTGGATGTGCCAGATCCATCCTGCAGCCCCTGATCCCCTGGGATGGTGGCAGGGAGGGATGGAGCAGCTTCTCCAGAGAGAAAACCTTTCCCAGGGCACGAATCCCATGGGGATGTCACACCAGCCATGTCCCCATCTGGATCAGTCCCCACCGTGGCTGGGACAAGAGGCAGGTTTGCAGCATTCCAGGTGCTCCCAGCAACCCTCTCCAGGTGCTCAATCCAAAGCTGGGTGAGGCAGAGAGTTCCTTGGGGCAGGGAGGAAATCCCAGTGTGCTGCTGGCCCTGCCTCTGTCACCCTGTCACTCCCTGCCCTGGTGGCACCAGGATGCCATTTATTAGCCAGCTCCAGCCGAGGGCCAGCAGCTCCCGTCCCTGCAATCCCAACTGCCCAGCTGCCAGCTCTTGGCAGGGGTTCCTTCCCAAGCTCAGCGCTGCCTCATTAGGGAAATTAAACCCGGGATCACGGCAGAGCTGCTGGAGGCGGCGGGATGAGGCTGCCCTGGGGGGATGCATCACTTCTGGACAAGGAGTGGGAAGGTTTCCGTGTGCCCAGGGAGGAGCTGGCAGTGCCCAGGACTGTCCTGCAGCCAGGGAACTGCTCCTGTCACATCCCTGTGTCCCATGAGCCGTCACTGGGGCCAGGACCCGGCTCTGGCATCGCCCAGACCCCAAACAACGGCCCCGTTCCCACTCCCCCAGGGTCCCCAAAGGTCACAGCTCTGCTGCTATAAAAACAAGCCCTGATGAAGAGCAGACTCCAGGGCAGGGCCAGAAAGTCACATTTCACTGAAAGTTCCCTCATTGTGCTCTGAATGACCCCAAATACGCGCCAGACACAAAGGGCTCGGATCTCAGCACTGTCACGGGCACTACATCGAGCTCGGATAAGAAACACATCCCCAGCCCATCCCAGAGGATCCTTTTCCCCCTGAAAAGGGGGATGGGCAGGTGATGATTCCCACCCAGACACTCCCTGCCCCCTTCCATGCTTGGCTGGGCTGGCAGGGAACGGCAGCCAAGGGACAAGGGACAGGCTCACAGCATTCCCAGCAGCACAAATCCCACCCAGAGCCCCCACAGAGCATTGGAAAGCCAGTGAGGGCTCGGAGCCCTTGGGCTGGCAGCATCTGAGCTGAGTAGGTGGGCAGGGAGGTTTCAGCCCTTCTCCATTGGCTGTGCCACCACCCCACATGGGCAGTGTCACCTCTCCTCTCCTCTCCTCTCCTCTCCTCTCCTCTCCTCTCCTCTCC